CTGTAAGATGCCACCCGGAGCCTTGCCGGACCCCTTCAGAGACCCTCTGAGGACCTTTAGAAGTACTTGAGGAGATTGGTAAGGGTACAACAAACTTGGGCTGTTAGTGGCACTGTGACACTATTTAGGACTCTTATAAGACCCCATTTGGAAAGCTCAACCATTTTCTAGCCTTTTTTTGTTCACTTAGCCTTTTATTATAAGCAGTTTTCCATGTTGCAATATGGCCTTCAAATATTTTAAAACAAAAACCACAGCAATGATTGTATCGGTGATATTGCGCAGTAAAAATCAGTCTCCATCTACCTCTATCTCTCAGTTCTCCAGTCCCCGCCAACTCTAGAGGTAACCACTATCTGTGTGTGTGTGTGTGTGTGTGTGTGTGTGTGTGTGTGTGTGTGTGTGTGTTTCGAGACAAGGTCTGGCTCCATACTCCAGGCTGGAGTGAAGTGGCTTAATCTCAGTTTACTGAAACCTCTGCCTCCTTGGCTCAAGCCATCTTCCCACCTCAACCTCCTGAGTGGCTGGGACTACAGCCCCACCCCACCCCCAACTGCCAACACCACCACACCCAGCTAAGTTTTGTATTTTTTTTTAAGAGATGGGGTTTTGCCATGTTGTCTAGGCTGGTTTTGAACTCACGAGCTCAAGGGATCCGACTGCCTCGGCCTCTCAAAGTGCAGGGATTACAGGCATGAACCATCGTGCCTGACTTCATATGTGTTTTTAATGAAGAGTTTGTAATTTTAGAAAGTTACCTAATGTTTATTGAATATGCCAGGCAAGTTACAAAGGCTATCCCATATCAGCTCTGCAAAGAAGAGTATTATGTATCCCCATGTTGTACATAATTACCTTATGTACAACATGGGGATACATAATACTCTTCTTTTCAGAGAGGTGAAATAATTTGCCTCAGTTTACCTGGATAATAGGTAATAGAATTATTACCTTGCTCTAAAATCTATAGTTTCTCCAACAGTATCTCCTTGCTGTCCATAATATTCTAATATTCTATAAAGGGGAGATGGTATAATTTACTTAACTATTATGCACTGTTAGTTATTTAACCATTTGCCTGTGGTTGGAAACTTTAAGTCCAGCTTATTATTATTTGCTATTATAAACAAAAATCAGGTAGACAGCTCTTATGACTCTTACTGCAGTCTCCGCCTCCACACCCGGACTGCTTTTATCCATTCGATCTTCATTAGAATAATTTGTGGCCAGGTGCAGCGGCTCATGCCTGTAATCCCAGTTCTTTGGGAGTCTGAGGCGGGCAGATTGCTTGAGCTCAGGAGTTTGAGGCCAGCCTAGACAACAAAGTGAGATCCCAGCCCTATTATTATACATTTTTATATTGTTTTTATTTTATTATATATTTTTATAACAATAATAATTATTATTATTTTTTGAGACGGAGTCTCGCTCTGTTACCTAGGTTGGAGTGCAGTGGCATGATCTCAGCTCACTGCAACCTCCACCTCCCAGGTTCAAGCAATTCTTCTGCCTCAGCTATCCCAAGTAGCTGGTACTACAGGCGTGTGCCACCACACCTGGGTAATTTTTTATATTTTTAGTAGAGATGGGGTTTCACCATGTTAGGCAGGATGGTTTCAATCTCCTGATCTCGTAATCTGCCTGCCTCAGCCTCCCAAAGTGCTGGGATTACAGGTGTGAGCCACCGCTCCCAGCCCCTGTTACTTTTAAAATAAAAAAATTGTACTTTCTTGTCCCCATAACCTTTCTTACACACGCTCCCTTTCCTTGAGGAACTGAAACACACACATACACACAAATGCACACGCACACGCACTCACACACACTCAATTTTTCAGGATGCCATGTCCCTATGCAGACTTGCCCTCTTGTGACCCTTGGTGCAAGCTGGGGCTTCCTACAGGGTAGTAAGCCCATTGACTCTAATTGTAAATCAGCCCCTCTCCCATGGATTTGTGGGCTCCCTCAGGGCAGAGGTCTAAACCTATTCATATGAGGCATTTGTTAAAAGTGCAGGTGTCCAGGTCCCCTAATGACCTACAAAATAGGATTTTTTGGCTTCAAGCCTGGACATCCAGGTGAATTTTATGAAGTGAACCTTGGAAGACTACTGCCCCAGGGCTATGATCAGTGATTGGATGCCTCAAAGGGCACCCAGTATTCCCAGAAAGAGGAGTCTCATCAGCTTCTTAGTGGAGAAGGAGAAGGGCACGCCAGACTGCAGAGGAATATTGGCTGGTCTCTCTAGCTGAGTGGACTTTGACCTATCCTAGACAGCAATAACATGATACCAGTTATGGCACAATGTTTGATCAAATTATTTTATTTATTTTTAATAGATAATTCACGTAATATGACGCAAAATGTAGAATATATTTTAAAATTATTCAGTGAAAAGCAGTCTCTCCCCACCTCTAGCCCTCAGTTCTCCAGTCCCTGCCAACTCTAGAGGTAGCCATGACTTTTGTGTGTGTTTCTAATAAACAGTTTGTAATTTTAGAAAGTGATCCACGTCAGCAGTTTATGCAGGGTAGGAATCTATTTTTTTAAGAAAACAATTTTGAAATAATTACAGGTTCACAAAATTTGCAAGAATTGTACAGAGCAGTTCTCTTACTTCCTACACGCAGTTTTTCCCCATGACTATATTATATTTATATAACTGTATATATAATTTTATAACTGAGCAGTGATTGGATGCATGACAGGGCACCGAGTATTCCCAGAAGGAAGATATATAATTGCATATGTAACTATAGAGCAAAAGCAAAGAAGCTGATGACACTCTTGTATTATACATGTAGTTATATAACTACAGTGCGATAGCAAAACAAGAAAATTGACATTGATACTGTATGTATGTAGTTCTCTGCTATTTTATCACATGTAGACATGCAAACACTGTCACTTAAGATACTTTAGAACTATTTCGTCGGCACCATATGTACATAACTTAACTCAGTCTACTGGTGTTGCCATTTTACCAGTTCACGTGAAATGAAGAAACTTTACCTTAATTAGGTCTCCAATTTGCCCTCCCTATTTTACTATTTAAGATGATAGTACAGTTGTCTTAAATATCTCTTCATATATTTTCAGACCACAGGAGACAATGTTATAATATTTGGTTGCCAAACACAATTTAGAAAACTCAAGAGGAAAAGGAAAGTCTTTTGTATTTACTCAGGTTTTAACTCCGTTCTTTAGTTTTTCTTGTTCCAAGAGTCCTTCCTTTGTCATTACTTATAACAGTTTCTGTGGTCATCTTTTTGAGGTAAGTCTGCTGGAAACAAATCCTATCACTTTTCTTATTGGAGAATGTCTTGCTTTCTTCTTTGTCCCTGAAGGGTATTTTTGTTGGATACAGGATTCAGGGTTGACCATTCTTTTCTTCCAGCACTTGTAAAGTTGTGATACTTTCCTCGGGTCTTCTTGATTTCTGATGAGAACTCCATCATTTGAATTGTTTTTTCCCCAAAAGTGTCATTTTTCTCTTGCTATTTTCAAGAATTTTTATTTGTCTTTAGATTTCAGAAGTTTGATTATAATGCATCTGGGCATCAGATGATGATGAATTTCTTTGACTTTGTCCTATTTGGGATCTGCTCGGCATCTTGAATCTGTAGGTTTCTGTCTTTTGCCAACTTTTGGAAATTTTCAGCTCTTATTTCTTTTCTTTTCCTTCCTTCCTTCCTCCCTTCCTCCTTCCTTCCTCCCTTCCTCCTTCCTCCCTCTCTCCCTCCTTTCTTTCTTTCTTTCTTTCTGTCTTTCTTTCTCTCTTTCTCTCTCTTTCTTTCTTTCCTTCCTTCCTTCCTTTCATTTCTTTCTTTCTTTTGAGTTCCACTGGAGAGCAGTGGCGTGATCTCAGCTCGCTGCAAACTTTACCTCTCGGGTTCAAGTGATTCTCCTGTCTCAGCCTCTCAAGTAACGAGGATTACAGGTGCACACCACCACACTGTCCTAATTTTTTGTATTTTTAGTAGAGACGGGGTTTCACCATGTTGGCCAGGCTGGTCTCGAACTCCTGACCTTAGGTGATCCACCCACCTCGGCCTCCCAAAGTGCTGGGATCACAGGCATGAGCCATCGTGCCCAGCCAGACCTTATTTCTCTACCTTCTTGTTTAGCCCCACACTTTCTCCTTTCCTTCTAAGGCTCCAATGACATGAATGTTAGATCGGTTGTAATCTCTCTGGTCTTTGAGGTTTATTATTTTTTTAGTCTATTTTCTCTGTTATTCAGATTGAGCATTTTCTATTGTTCCATCTTCAAGTTCATTGATTCTTCGCTCTGTCCTTGTCATTCTACAGTTGAGGCTCACCCAGTGATTTTTAAATTTTGTTTATTGTATTTTTCATTTCTAAAATTTCCATTTGGTAATTTTTTTATGTCTTCAATTTCTTTCCCGAGGTTTCTGTATCTTTGCCGAAACGTTTGATTTCCTTGCTGACGTACTGTTTTTTCATTTGTTTCAAGCATGTTCATAATCACTTGTTGAAGCAATGTGACTCGGACTCGGCTGCTTTTAAATCCTTGTTGGACAATTCCAGCATCTGTGTCATGTTGGTGTTAATATCTGTTTTGATTTTGTTTTTGAGAAACGGTCTCACTCTGTTGCCCAGGCCGGAGTGCAGTGGCTCAATCATGGCTCGCTGCAGCGTTAACCTCCTAGGATCAGGTCACCTTCCCACCTTGGTATCCTGAGTAGCTGGGGCCACGGGCATGTGCCACCACGTCTGGCCGATTTTTGTATTTTTTGTAGATATGGTGTTTTACCATGTTGCTCAGGCTGGTCTTGAACTCCTGGGCTCAAGTGATCTGCCTGCCTCAGCCTCCCAAAGTGCTGGGATTGCAGGTGTGAGCCACCATGCCATCCCAATTTTTAAAAAAGAAAATGCTTTCTTTAATGTTTCTTAGTAGAAACAGGGTGTCACTATGTTGCCCAAGCTGGTCTAAACTCCTGGGATCAAACAATCTTCCTGCCTCAGCCTCCCAAAGTTCGGTGATTGCAGGCAAGAGCCGCCATGCCCGGCTGGTGTTGGTGTCCATTGATAGCCTCTTCTTATCCAAGCTGAGATTTTCCTGGTTGTATATACGACAAATGATTTTCTATTGCTTCTTGGACATTCTGAATATAACTTTATGAGACTCTGGATCCTACATACATCTGTTTTAGCAGATCTTTCATACACTGCTCTGGTGGGGAAAGGGAGATGTCATCTAGTTGCTACCAGGTGGGAGTGGAAGCCCAGGTTCCATGCTTAGCCTCCACTGACACTTGGTGGAAAGGGCTGCTTCATTAGTGATGGGTGACGGGGGGAGTTCAGATTCCCCACTGGCCTCTGCTGAAGCCACGCTGGCTGAAAAGGGGAGGGCCACTGTTCCTTTACTGACATCATGTGGGGACAATGATAAACATGCTGGCTCCCCAGGAGATCTTCACTAACCCCACCCTGGAGGGGAAAATGAGGGGTACAGGGGCACACCATCACAGCTGGGGTGAGGTTGGAAGTCTAGGTTCCCTGCGAGGCCTGTGGATGGGGTGGGCATGGCAGTGCAAGATTTTCAGTGGCATTTGGCTGGATTAGGACAGTTGTCTAAACATTTTCTGTCTTGCTAGGCTTCCCATTTCCTGTTTCTTTGGTTAGAGAAAGCAGCTTTTCCTTTGGGCTTTCATTGGCTGTGCCCATTGGTATTTGCAAGTTGTTGACTGCTCCCGCATCCAGCAACTTGGAACTAATTTCCTAATATATCCAGGATATCTGGAGATCTCTAGTCAGTCTGCCCTCTTCTCTCTACCTTTCAGAGTCTTCTTAGGTTTTTTTGTTTTTTTTTTTTAATATAATGTTTAGAGTTTTCCGTTGCCCTTGTGGGAAGGAACAGAGTTAAATGTATGTATTTCATCGTGTCTCAGAAGCAGAAGGGATCGTGCATTTTTCATGTGTTTTGAGTCTAATTTACAGGTGGGAGACTGGGAGACATTTTCTATCCCTGCAAAACAGAGGAACTGATTCCTTTTCATTTTGTTCATTTTCATCCTGTTTTTCCTAAAGCCACATTTCTTTCCTTTAGTCCACATGTCCACCTCAGCACATGTCACCATATGTTGTGTTTGAGACCTCGTAAATAGTCCAAAGAGCCAGGACACGGTGGAAGCTGTGATTTTGGAGGGATTGACAGTAGACTGAGAACTTTAAACTTTCAGCCTTGGGGAACAATTTTAAGTATTTATTCTAAATGATCATTAGGTGATTCGTCCAAAAGGTATCATAAGTGTGAGGTGTGGAGGCAAAGGAGTTACTAGAAGCTGGGGCAGAGTGGAAGCCCAGTGTGTGAAGTTGTGCAGGGGACAAGCAAAGGACAGAGACCAGTGAACCAGGGTCATCCCCTGAGGCTCAACCCCTGGGCACCGCCTCCAGCTCTTCTCCACCTGCTTCTAGGCAGTGAGGCCCCAAGAACAAGCAAGAAAGTCTCTCCTTAAGTTTGTGGAACAAGCATTTGTTGCACACCTACCATTATGTCCAAAGCTGTGTCGAGTTAGGTAAAAAGACATCTTAGATCTTTGCCGCCCTCTTATACCCACAGGACCAGATCTCACATGCCCTATTAGAGTCTCCCAGGTGTTTTTTTCAGGGAGAGAAAACATTAAAAATCAAACAAACATAGATATATAGAGAGAAAAGCCTCTCACCCGGGCAGCCTGAGCTGGCTGCAGGAGCAAGCATTCCTCTGACTTCTGAGACAGTACAAGGTGTGTCCAGGTGACTTATGTGTCGCTGGGCAGCTGCCACGCACACTCCTCCACCTGACGCTGCTCAGGGAGAAGCCAGGCAGCTATAATAGTGTTCCTGGCAGGAAAACATCTGGTCTAGCAGGCAGGGTGTCATTTGTGCAGCTGGGTGGAGACAAAGCTAGGCTGGTCCCGATTCTTAACCTGCACTGGGAGTGATGCACTCAGCCCCACAGGGAGTAGATGAGCCCCAGGCAGAAGATGTTTTGGAGAAAACTCCCCAAAGCCCTCTGCATTGGGCTGACTCTGGCCATTGCTGTCAATCTCATTCTGGTATTTTTTACTAAGGGGACTTTACAAAACCTGTTTATGGGTGGTCTCCACAGGGAGCTTCCTTTACCTCTGTCTGAGCGCCACGTGGCCGTGATAAAGAGACTCTCCCACTTGGAGGTGGAATTGCAGCATCTGAGTAAGTTTACAACACTAACCTGGAAGGGGTGTGTGTGTGTGTGTGTGCGTGAACATGTATGTGTGTGTGCATGTGTATGTGTGTGTGTGTTTAGGGGCACTTAGGAAAAAGGGGTGTGGAGGGAAAAATGGGTGAGACGTCACATTTTCATCTTAGTTGCTCATTGATTTCTGTGCCTTCAAGTGGGAGTTGAGTATTGAGAATGAGGTGAGTAGAAGTGGAAATTAGAGCAAGCAGTGTGTGGGAAGTGAGCATGCCTGTGTGTAAGCGTGTGTGGGCTTGTGCACATCATGTACATTCTGTCTCTTTGCCTGCATCTGTATACATGTATGCTGGCAAAGAGACAGAATAAGAATCCCAAGAACCTTAGGAATCTCTAGCACAGGCTGTTAAAGAGAGGTGGCAATCTCCGGGGCAAAGCCCTCACTTCCATTTTGCTGTGTGTTCCTATCGTGAACTAATGAGGACTTTGTTAGAGGACCTAAGATCGAATCCCGATATGCCATTGTGGTTGTGTGACTTTGAGCAAGTGCTTATCTCTCTGAGCCTCAGATTCCTGGTCTGTTAATGGAGATGACAACAATGATGATAGTTATCAACCTGACCTAACAGGTGATGAAATATATGCAGAAGGTGATCTGTAAACTGCTAGTGCCAAATTCTAACCTCTTCATTTAAAGTTAAGGGTAAGATTTCAACAAATTCTGGGGTCTGTTTGTGATTCCGGCTTACCATGGAACTCTAACGCCTCTGAATTTATTTGCCTGCACCTCCAACTCAAACAAGGGAAGCAGCAATTTCCCCCTGCTCCCCAGGTGACAGGGATCAAACACTGGAACCCCATGGAGAGGTGTTTTATGTGTGAGCAGGGATGTGTCTGCACATAGGGCTGAGTTGGGGAACGTGCCTTTTAAAATGAGAACTGAGCATTGTCAGGGTTCAGGGTGAGGCTGGGAGATGGGTGGAAAGAAAGGCAAGAAGAGAAAAGGGAGAGGAGCAATCAGGGAATGAGCAGGGAAAGTGAGAAGGGAGGTGAGAGAGGAGAAAAGAGCTGGGACAGGAAAGGAGCGGAGAAGTAAGAGAATCCAGGGAACGAGGGAGAAAGAGTTTGTATGGAGACAAGAAGAAAAAACGAGAAAGTGTCACGGGAGAGGAGGGAATAAAAGGAGAGAGAAGGAGGCCTAATGCACCCATAGCACCTCTACATCCTCCTCCATAAGCTTCATCATATTTTATTGTGATACAGTTTTCCAGAAAGCAAGTTTCATAAGGGCTGTTTCCATGAACGTCTCATTCACTACTCATTTCTATTCATACATAGAAGTTACATAAATGAATAAATGAAAGGGTGGGTCTAGGAAAGAGGGAAAAAGGCAGGCAGACAGGGATGACGGGAAGAGCGATACCGGGCAAGAGAGCAGAGGAAACAGGATTGTCAGCTCCACAAGCCCTGGCTTACCTGGGGGGGTTGGACATTGCCCATACAAATATGCTTGGTGCAGCTTCACCAGGAGAATGCCTGTCTGTGTACCTAGGTTGGTAACCCCAGCACCACCCTCACTACTTGGCAGAGCACCCAGACCACACCAGAACTCTCACCCTTTCCCAAGGCTCATTAGATTGGCCTGGCCTCCTCAAGCCATCAAATGGCAGGAGTTCTACCCAAAGCCCCGCTATTCTTTCCTTCAGCTAGGACACAGCGTGCCACCGGGAGCCAGCCAGAGCCATCTGGTTTAGCTCTCTTTCCTTCTTTGCATAGACCTTTCTTGTTATTCTTGGTGCTCCCACATTTTATTCGCTCTGAAATGATGTGATGTCAGAGACTCACTACCACCTGAGATGAATCTCAAAAAGTCTTCTAGGCCTTGCTTCTAGATCCCCAGTGCTCTTTTTTCCACAGAGCTTCCTGCAGCTAAAGCCTGTTTACCCTTCAACCTGTTTGCTCCTTGCCTCCAGGATTCCAGGAAGATTAAAGAAAATCATAAGTCAATAAGGATACTTGGTTGCATCATGCAAGCTAACCAGGGCAAAAGCAAACAATAATAATTATATCCCTATTGAGGGAGGGATCAATGACTCTAAGCCAGTTTTCTGGAATCTCTCCCAGGGTTCATAAAAGCCCTATCAGGGCAGTATCATTGGGTATGTCCCTTTTGGGGCTTGGAAGGTTTCAGTGTAAGTTATGGGGGTGTCTTAGTCACACTGTATTCATACTCCCAGATTATGCATTTCCTCAAATTGACTTTAGGATGTCCAGGTCCAAACCAGCTCCTACTGACAGCCATGAGTGAAAGAGAAAATCAGATACCCCCAAGGAAGAATGCAGAGGAGCTTAGAGGTAGGAAGAACCCATTACCACCCTGTGACCCCTGTGTGCTTAGGACAGAAAAGTATGAATGACGGTACTATTTCATCTGGGACACTGTAAACAGTATGCTCTCACTTCTTTTTTCTACCCGAGCAAATATGCATGGTGTTCACATGAGCCTCCTTTGACAGATCTACCATTTACTTTTTGCCCAAGTTTTTTGACTATCCTCTTTTGTCTTAACCTCTTCGAGAGTTGATTCTCTTTCTCCTTTTCCTTCTTTTTGGCCCAGTCTTACGTTACTTTACAAACATGTTCTCCCCCCAGTTATGGACTTACCTGCTTCCCTCTTGGGGGCCATATATGGATCTGAAATCCAGCCCACATTCTGCTTGCCAAGCCATGTGCTGTGGCATGAGATGCGTCTACCCAGAGAAAATTCACACAATGGGGCTGTCCCCTCACCAAGCTGGTGACCCTGAGTTGCAATCATCCAGAAAAGAAGAATGCCTTCTTCCAGCTTGTAGAAAGATGCTGGACCGACGAAAGTTGATCCTGTCAGTCTGGCTGAAGTTTAGTGTGGGTTTAGGGGAAGATTAGCAGGAACAAAGTCATGTCAGAATTCCTTGATCACCATTGTGGGATTTAGTGCCGAAGAATGTCATAATCACTAAACACTAAAATGGTTACTTTTTCTCTCTTTTTGCTGAGTTCACAGACTGAGCTTGAGGGAGTTCAAGGTGCATATGCTAAGACACTCCAGTACAAATCTTACTGGGTAGAAATGTGAGGTAAATAATAGATGACGTCATGGATCCTGGAGGATGTCTTCTGTGTAAAACGTCCTCTGCCTGGGTCTATCACTATCTGTTCATTCTTTTGCGTTAAGCGGTGTTTCTCAAATTAATGTGACAATTAGATTTATCTAGAGCAATTGTTACAAATACAGATTCTCAGGCTCTACCCCAGAACTGAGTCAGAATCTACAGGGGAGGCTTGGAATTCTGTATTTTTAACAAGCTTTTGAGGACATTCTTATGATCATGCAAGTTGGAAATTGCAAGACTAGGACAGCTCCAATTTTAAAGTTCCTCATAAATCAAACACATGAGAAGCCAGGGCATGGGTGGATGATGGTGGCAGTGGTTAGAGCAGATTTGCCTTTGTTAGACACTAAGGGTATAGTACGTGTTTCTTAAATTGTACTATAAAAAATTACTCTTTGGTTTTATTAAAAAGCAGATTCTTTTTTCTTTTCGAGACAGAGTCTCGCTCTATCACCAGGCTGGAGTGCAGTGGCGCCATCCTGGCTCACTGCAACTTCCGTTTTCCTGTTTCAAGAAATTCTCCTGCCTCAGCCTTCCAAGTAGCTGGGACTACAGGCGCACACTACCACGCCTGACTAATTTTTTGTATTTTTAGTAGAGACGGGGTTTCACCATGTTGGCTAGGATGGTCTCGATCTCTTGACATCATGATCCGCCCACCTCGGCCTCCCAAAGTGCTGGGATTACAGGCGTGAGCCACCGTGCCCGGCCAAAAAGCAGATTCTTGTAATTTCTCCTGTCTGCATTCCCACGTGACTCTCAGATTCTGATTTAGTGGATTTGGAGATTAGCCTGGGTATCCACATTTAAAAAAAATCGCAACGGATGATTCGATGTAAGTGGTTCTCAGGCCTCATTCTGAAAAAAATTAGCTGATTTTCCACCTATTTCTCAGATCATAGTGAGTCAGTTTTTCAAGGAGCTTTGAAGATGTGGGCTGGAGGAGTTTTGATGAGGCTAAAGGGAGAGATGTATCTAGTACATACTTTGCTGGGACAGCCTTGCAAGGCTGGACAAGTTCCCTGTTACATTACATCCTCTGAGACAAGAGCTTGTGAATTTTAAGATGTAGGGAGTAAATCATTTGAAGGAAATTAAGATGGAAAAGAATGCCCAGGTAACGGACAAGGGGCTGATATGTTTTCTTTCCCACCCCCATCCTCTTCATTTGCAGAAGAAAGTGTGAAATTGGCTCTGAGGCAACAAGAAAATGTGAACACCACACTGAAGAGGGCGAAAGATGAAGTACAACCTGTTCTAAAGGCAGTGGAAGCCACAATGAATGAGACAAAGAAGCACAAAACCCACGTGAAACTCTTCCCACACTCACAGCTTTTCAGGCAGTGGGGTGAGGATCTTTCTGAGGCCCAGCAGATAAAGGCCCAGGACCTTTTCCAGAGGTTTGGTTACAACGTGTACCTCAGCAACCAGCTGCCTCTCAATCGCACCATCCCGGACACTCGAGACGACAGGTGGGAGGAACCAGGTGTGGGCTTTCAGAGACCCCAGTTTGATTTGAGGATGAGCTTTGGGAGCAGTGAACATTGAAGGTTGGGGGAGTGAGGGATTGATGGGGAAGGGGTCGTGGCTGAGCAAAGTTCTGGTTTTTAATTCATTTTATAATGACAGCTCAGAGAAGATAACCGACTGATCCAAATATTTACAGACCCTTGGGAAAGAACAGAAATGTGAGAGGATCAGAGGTCCTTTTCAGCTCTGATCCAGAGAAACAGAGATAGGATTGGTCTAACTGATAATTTTACAGATGAGGAAACTGAAGCGGAGAAGGGATTTGTGCAAGTCACACCAAAGCCAGCAGCAATACCTCCTTCCCTAGGACTTTGCTCAAATTCTCTACTTGGATTCATTCCTCTTTGCTGGTAAATCTAATATGAAGAGCAGCTCCTCTCCTTCTTCAGTTTCCCTTTCCTATTGTTTTTCTCTTTCTCTTCCACCATCCTTCATAATTCCTTTTTAGAAACAGCTTTGTTGAGATATAATTCACATACCATGCAATGTGTCCATTTAAAGTGTACAATTTAATGGCTTTCAGTATATTCACAGAGTTGTTCACCATTCCCACAATCAATTTTAAAACATTTTCATGACTTTAGAAAGAAACTGCATTAGCAGGCCCTCCCCATTTGCCCATAACTTCCTCATCCCTAGGCAACCGCCACTAATCTGCTTTCTATCCCTATGGATTTGTCTATTCTGGAACTTTTGTATTAATGGAATCATATAATATGGAGTCTTTTGTGACTAATACTTTTTACTTATCACAATGTTGTCAAGTATCATTCACATTTTAACACATATCAAACATCATTCCTTTTTATTGTCAAGTAATATTTCATTGCTTGGATTATGCCACATTTCCTATCAGGCAATGAACATTTGAATTATTTCCACTTTTTGACTGCTATGAATACTGCTATGAACACTCATGCACATATAAGTTTTTGTGTGAACAAATATCTTCATTTCTTGTAGGTGTACCCTATGGGTGGAATTGCTGGGCCATATGATAATTCTGTGTTTAGCCTTTCAAAGAACTCCCAGGTGGTTTTCCAAAGTGATTTCATCATTTAACATTCCCTCAAGCAGTATATGAGCGTTCTGATTTTTCCATATACTCACTGACATTTGTATGTACGTATGCATGTATGTGTGTATTTATTTATTTATTTTGAGGCAGTGTCTTGCTCTGTCACCCAGGCTGGAGTGCAGTGGCATGATCTCAGCTTACTGTAACCTCTGCCTCCTGGGTTCAAGCAATTCTTCTGTCTCAGCCTCCCAAGTAGCTGGGACTACAGGCATGCGCCACCATGCCCGGCTAATTTATTTTTAGTAGAGATGGGGTTTCACCATATTGGCCAGGCTGGCCTCGAACTCCTGACCTCGTGATCCACCTGCCTTGGCCTCCCAAACTGCTGGGATTACAGATGTGAGTCACCGCGCTGGCCTTGTTATTATTTTTCTTTTTAAATATAGGCATCCTAGTGGATCTGAAGTGGTATCTCACTGTGATTTTGTTGTAAATTTCCCTGAGGCTTAATAATGTGGAACATCTTTCCATGTATATTGGCCATTTGTATGTCTTCGTTGGAGAAATGTCTATTTGAGGACTTTGTTTTTTTTTTTTTAATTGTCTTATTTATCTTTTTATTACTGAGTTGCAAAGTACTCTATATATTCTAGATACAAATTCCTAACAGAAATATGACTTGTTAATGTTTTCTTTCATTGGGTAGATTGTCTATTCACTTTCTTGATGGTCGTCTTTGAAACACAAGAGTTTTAAATCTTAATGATATCCAATTTATCTATTTTCTCTTTGGTTGCCTGTACTTTTGGTGTTATATCTAAGGGACCATTGCCTGGTACAAGGTTGCAAAGGTTTATACCCATATTTTCTTCTAAGAATTGTATAGTTTCAGTCTTAAATTTAGGTCTTTGGTCCATCTTAAATTAGTTTTTGTACATAATGTGAAAAAGAGGGTCTAACTTCATTGTTTTGTGTGTGGCTGTTCAGCGATCCTAGCACCTTTGTTGAATAGACTACTCTTCCACATCAGATTGTCTTGGCACCCTTGTTGAAATCAATTGGTGATAATGTAAGAGTTTATTTCTGGATATCAATCCTATTTCATTGCTGTATAGGCCTATCCTGATGCCAGGAACGCATTGTCTTGACAATTGTAATTTTGTAGTACATTTTGAAATTGAAACTGTGAGTCTTTCAACTTTCCTCTTCTTTCTCAAGACTGTTTGGTCTATTCTGGGACCTTGAATTTCCATATGAGTTTTAGGATTAGTTTGTCCATTTCTGCAAAGAAGCCAGCTGCAAAGAAACCAGCAGGATTTTGATAGGGATTTCATTAACTCTGTAGATCAAATTGTGGAGGACTGCATTTTAACAATTAGATCTTCCAATCCATGAATATGAGAAATCTTTCCATTTATTTTGGTCTTTAATTTCTTTCAACAATGTTTTGAGTTTTCAGAATATAGGTTTTTTCACTTCTTTTGTTAATTTTATTCCTAGGTATTTGTCTTTTTGATGCTATTAGAAATAAGACTTTTAAAAAATATTTTGACAAAATTATATATCTTATCATATAAAATATGATGTTTTGAAATATATACACATTGTGCAATGGCTAATATATATGCATTACCTCACAGTTATTTTCAGTGGGAATACTTAACATCTATTCTCTTAGCAATTTTCAAGAATACCACATATTGCTATTGACAATAGTTACCATGTTGTACAACAGATTTCTTGAACTTATTCCTCCTATATAACTGAAATTTGTATCCTTTAACCAACATCCTTCTAACCCCTCTTCACTCCAGCCCCCATCCTGGCTCCTGGTTACCACCAATCATTCTACTCTCTACTTCTACGAGTTCAATTATTTTAGGTTCCGTGTACAAGTGAGATCATGCAGTATTTGTATTTCTGTGCCTGGTTATTTCACTTAACATAATATCCTCCAGGTTTATCCATGTTGTCACAAAAGACAGGATTTCCTTCTTTTTATGGCTGAGTAGTATTCCATCTATTATGGAATAGTATTCCTCTGTCATGAATAATGCTCCAATGTAAATGGGAGTGCAGTCTTTCTTCAATATACTAATTCATCTCTTGTGGACGTATTCCCAGTATAGGATTGCTAGATCATACAGTAGTTCTCTCTTTAGCATTTGAGGAGCCTCTATACTGTTTTCCTTATTGGCTATACTAATTTACATTCCCCTAACCATGTGCAATGGTTCTCTTTTTTTTCAGATTATTGATAATACTTATCTTTTATTTTTTGATAGTAGCCATTCTAACAAGGGTGAGATGATAGGTCAATGTAAGTTTAATTTGCATCTCCCTGATGGTTAATGATATGGAACATTTTTTTCATAAATCTCTTGGCCATTTGTAGTCTTCTTTTGAAAAATGTTTCCTTAGGTCATTTGCTGATTTTTATTTTTCTTGTTATTGAGTTGTTTGTGTTCCTTATATATTTTGGATATTAACTCCTTATTAAATATATGATTTGCAAATATTTTCTCTCATTCTGTAGGTTGTCTCTTCATTCTTTTGATTGTTTTCTTTGCTGTGTAGATTTTTAGTCTGATGTACTCCTATTTGTCTATTTTTGATTTTGGTGCCTGTGGCTTTGGGTCTTATCCAATAAGTCATTTCCCAAACCAATGTCCTGGAAATTTTTCCCTATTTTCTTTCTAAGAGTTTTACAGTTTGGGGTTTTATGTTTAAGTCTTTAATCTAGTTTCACTTGGTGTGATGAGATAAGGGATCAGTATTATTCTTTTTAAATGTGGTTATTCAGTTTTCCCAACACGTTTTACTGAAGAGGCAGTCCTTTTTCCATTGGGGCTATTCACGATAATTTATGGTTTCATTTAGACATTTTAGAGTTGTTTTTTCTATCTGTAGAATTTTGATAGAGATTAAATACAACCTGCAGATCACTTTGGGAAGTATGAACATTTTAACAGTATTAATTATTCCAACCCATAAACCTGAGATAATTTTTCATTTATTTGTGTTTCTTTAATTTCATTTATGAGTATTTCATAGTTTTCATTGTAGAGATCTTTCACCTCGTTGGGTAAATGTATTCGTAAGTATTAAGTTTTGGTATAGCCATCCTATATAGAATTGGTTGCTTGATTTCCTTTTTTGATAGTTTGCTGTTGGTATATAGTAAAGCTAGTGATTTTTATATGTTGATTTTGCAACTTTACTGAATTTGTTTATTAGTGTTGATCATTTTTAGTGGGTTCCTTAGGGATTTATATATATAGATTATGCCATCTGCAAACAGGGACATTCTAACCTCTTTTCCAATTTTGATGCCTTTTTTTTCTTTCTCTTGCCTGATTGCTCTTGCTAGGACTTCCAGTAGCATGCCGAATAGAAATGTGAGAGTGGGCATTCTTGTCTTGTTCCTTACTTTAAGAGGAAACGTTTTCAATTTTTCCTTATTGACTATGATGTTAGCTGTGGGTTTGTCATATCATCTTTATGTGTTGAGGCACAATTCTTCTATACCTAATTAGTTGAGAGTTTTTATCATGAAAAAATGTTAAGTTTTTGTTAAGTGATTTTTCTGCATGTATTGAGATGATCATATGGCTTTTGTCCTTCATTCTGTTAACATGGTGTATTACATATACAGATTTGTGAATGTTGGACCATCTTTGTATCCCTGAAATAAAACTCACTGAATCATGGTAAATAATCTTTTAAATGTGTTGTTGAATTCAGTTTGCTGGTATTTTGATGAGGATTTTTGCATCAGCATTCATCAGGGATATTGGTCTGTAGTTTTCTTTTTCTTTTTTTTTTTTTTGTTTTTTTTGTAGTCTTCTTGTCTGGTTTTGTTATCGGGGTAACATTGGCTTTAACAAATCAGTTTGAAAGTATTCCCTACACTTTAATTTTTGG